GAGATACCATACCGAGATTTGACCAAGCTACCAAAGTGTCGAATGTGGTACATGCAGAGATAAATTTAAGAGTTGCGCTCAGCGATTCCCTCTCTTTTAGGTGTTTTACGTTGGTTCACGTGATACCTGCGTACGAGTTTCTCCCACCGGTTTACCCAGCGTGTACTTTGGCGCAGTTCCATGGAAGGATTTTCTGGAGCAGGGACCACGGATGAACTTCACACATTCGGTTTTTTTTACACAGGGTGCCAATTCCATGTCATCGAAATCACGGAATTCGAGCTTACGTGGGAATGTATCTATGTGAAGCAGGATAGCTAGGTGAACATTTGCAAACAGGATGGGGGAAAAAACAAGGAAGCGTGACGTTAGGAGAACCGGAAACCAAGTCGAACTAGGCTAACGAACATGTTCGTTGCCCTAGTTACAATTGCCGAATTCGTATTGTCTTCACAGAGTGTAAAGATGTCGATCAAACAACTGTGGTAACACTAGAAACCGTACGAAAATATTTGTTCTATATACCTGTAACTCTTCACATTTTTACCATTTTCACATAGTTGGAATAACCAACAGGCATTTGAAAAACACCACTTTAATTTGCAACTAAATGCACCTCGTAATGAACGTTCCGTTTGGTGTTTGAGTACAATACAAACTTGAAGAACTAATACACTCATTTGCATATCAACTGAGTTTTTACGGGAGACTCAACTGTGCTCCACAAAGACCACCTCATGTTTCAGTTGGCACAATACTCGAGATAACGCAGTAAGTTTTCATAAAGGAGATTCCTCACAAGCTTGTTGCAAACTTTTCGACAACCCACGACCGGTTTTGCCCATCTGGGGTCTCATCAGGTAGGCGAAGTCCCCGAGTTTCCGTCAATCTTATGTTCCACTTGAACCCAAATTAGACAGATTCCTGTAAGTACATTCATTCGCTGTTGAAGAGTTTTCAGCAACCTTGTGAGTAGTTTCCTTTATAAAAATATACTGCGCTATCACGAATATCGTGCCAAATGAGATATCAGGCGGCCATTACGCAGCAAAGTCAGTTAAAGCATAACATAAACGAGAAATTCAGTTGAGTTTCCCGTGAAAACCCAATTGAGGACTGAGCTTTTGCACTGGGATCCTAGAGTGATAAACAGGTAATGCATTTTCCAAATACATTCATTTGCAAGCTAATTTTGTCATATTGTATGATTTTATTGAATTCCAATCAAATATTTCGTTGGTACGATTCCTCTAGTGGACTGCCCACAGTTTTCATTGAGTGTAAAAGTGGCATCAAACAAAAACATCTTCCTACCGATGGTTGTGAATGTCTCTCTTTTTGAATTCGAAACGAGATACCATGAATCAGGATTACTCGATATGACAATTTTCTTTTATTTACGCAGCTAGATACTCATAAATACCCGGTGACCTATGACACGAAATGCTCGGTAAACCATGTGAGTACGGTCAGCTGAGCGTGCATCCGACCGGCATGTTGAGAAACTTATGTGCCAAAAGAGACAACCTGGAAATCTCACTGGTTTTGTGAAGCTTGAGCTAATCCCGCTCAGGTTCGTACAAATGAGTGGTCATTCAAGAAATTCAGTTGAGTCTCTCGTTAAAACCAAATTGATCTGCAAATGAGTGTACTTCTCGAAAACAGTCCAATGTGGGTTCAAGTAGAACATAAGGTTGACGAAAACTCGGGGACTGCGGCTACCTGATGAGCCCGAATTGGAAGGGCGAAACCGGTCGTGGGCTGTCGAAGCGTTTTCAGCAACCTTGTGAGTAGTTTCCTTTGTGAGTGGTCATTCACTTCGCGTGTTTAAGAACTGAAAAAAAGTCTTCCCGAATTGTTCTTGTCGACTCTATTCTGCAACCAATCAACACCCGATTTCGGGTTTCTAAAACAAACAACCCAGCTTTAGAAAGTCGATAAAATGCAAACACCAGTAAACAAAACGAGTGACGATTCAAGCAAAGTGACAAACAAACTTCCGCCAATGAGCGAATTTTCGAGGTTGTGGTATGAATTGATGGATAAATAAGAGGAAATTTGTTATTTCATTGATGGTAATGAATAAACAATCGGTGACAGAAAAAAGGGGAGTATCGCCATTTGTTCTAGATTTTACATTTCGCGGCAGTGGCTGATATCACAAACCAACTAAAAAGTAAGCTCCTACCGTAAGTTACTTAAACTGATTTTTATCCGTGAAAGTGTGCACGATAATACAGGAAATCTGACCTTCAAACACGTGTTACAATGCGTTTTCTCACCTTGTCATTGCTTCGCTGGGTAAGAGAGCTAGCCGCGCCCATTATCGATCGAGCGAAGCCAGTGTTAATGCCATTTATTTAACTCATAGTGTGAGCAGAATCCCCACTGACACACACACACACACACACACACACACCTTCCTTTGTGCGCAAAACATCGTGTGAATTGGTTGGATGAAAAACAAACGGCCTTTAGGTTGAAATATGAGAAATAAGGTTGTTGTCTCGCAGGCATTTGAGGACAACCGGTGGCGGTGATCACACACGTTCTAATATCGATGACTACTGATATTCACTGAATAAGCGGTGCACTTCAGATAGAGAATTTGTAGATTAGGACTCAAACATTAGTGGTGTAGCTCATATCCTCATTTCGATTGGATCAAACTCCTTCCCCGAATAGTGCAAGCTCTATCTCAAGTAGAACACAAGGTTGACGGAAACCCGGGGACTGCGCCTACTTGATGAGCCTCAAAAAGGGAGAAACCGGTCGTGGGCTGTCGACGGATTTTCAGCAACAAGGTTACTGAAGACTCTTGGACAGCCCACGACCGGTTTCGCCCTTCTTGGGGCTCATCA